ATTTTCCAGACCCATGGAAAATAAAACTAAAATAAACCTTCGCCATCCATCATCATTTTATTCATCCTTAAGGGCCTTATGCACTGAAACACCATATTTTAATAATGAAAAAATTTATTAGCTACAACTTTATTCGAAGGACCCCCGCTGAAGTATAGAGAGAAGTTTGATGAGTATGTTGATATTACACCCCTATTCAACTGGTACTAAATCAGACATAAAGCACTTCTCAAATAAGAAATTGCACTCAAAATGCTCAAACTGCTTGCTATTTGCCATTCCGATGTTTCATAAATGGCAACCCGTGACTACCATTGGGCCACCGTCTCACAGTGTGGAAAATTAACTTTTTTGACGAAATCAAATATCTCAGGGACGAGTATAGACATCGATATAAATGTAACGGTATAGCTTAAGCTTTTGAGATGGAGAATTCAAGAAAAAATAGTATCGTTGCATGAAAAAATTACCTTGATGTAATTTAAATTCTATGGATGCAACGGAAACAACGGACACCGCAACCACCGTTGCCCCAAGTGACTAAAGCGCGTTACTGGTATTCACTCTTTGCTTAACATTGCGTTTCCACAGCAGCTTACTATTCAAGACTACTCTAAATACTTTGTGTGGTCTTTAATTGACAGCGCGACACTATCTAAATAGCCACGGGGATGTGTACACTGGGACCTTATATGTTCTTGTGAAGAGTATCCGGTCTGTTTTGTCTGCGTAAACCACTAGCCCTAATATAAGCTAAACGTTTTTTGTAAACTAATTCTTGACCTTGAGGGCATCGACTGTGGAAGAACTGAAGTATTACACTTCTAGCCATAAAAATACTTTACGCAATTTTCATCGAAGTTCATTTGAGGCTTGAAACAGAATGGCAGTTAAATGTGCCTTGAAGTCTCAAATTAATAGCTCTTAAATATCAAGACGATGAATGGAATAGGATATTCCAGATCTCTATATATTATTGCGAGAAAGATTTGGGGAAAAAGGCAACTGTAGCGACACTGCGAGACACTTATAATATTTAATTAAAAATTTTATTTAGAATATCATTATTCGAACAAAATTGTTTAAATTCCAGGTAAGTATTTTGTTGCATAGAAGTAAATACTACATGCATATTGTCGTTCAAAGTACAAAACCGCGTATTGTAGTTCTGTAAAACCTCGTAACTGACTTTTGTGCCAAAAAGGATATTTGCTCACCGGAAGCTCCTGGTATCAAGCCCAAGCGGTTTTGTACTTTAAACAACGATATGTGTATTATTATTTACTAACGAGAAGAGAAATATCATACGTTAAGAAGATAGGCTATAAACCTGTGTACTCAAAAAAATTCTAACACTTTTGAGAAAAAAGGGGGTGAAAATTTATTGCATGTTATTTTAGTTTTTTATACATTTTTAATTTAAATTTTTTTTAATTTTTAATGTTTTTTCTTGGTTTTATATGGGTTTTGTTAGAGAATAAATTTAATTTTAATTAAAAACCCTTGAAAGAAAATAAATAAATATAAGTGGCAAACCATATTACTTTGAAATGGGGGTCCTGTTCATATGCCCGATGATGTACATGAACATGTGTGGCTGTTCAGAAAAGTAATTCTTGATTCTAACTACTTTTGAAAATGTGATAAATATTGTTCCAATTTGCAGTATATATTAAACGAAAATATCGTTGGGTGAAGGGTTGAGATAGTATTTACATGCATGTTTGTACATACATACATATATTTCATAGCATAGTATTATTATTCATATCGAAAACAACACAGAAATCCTATCGTTCCTCATTACATTACCTCTTAAATGCTTTCATTCAGCTAGAAATTGTTTTCTTCATCTCCCTCTATTCATCATCTTCCTCATTTCCTAATCGCACAACCTATACTCTTCATAATATCTCAACTAATACTCAAAAAAAGAGAAATGCTTAACATCTAATCAGCTTTCTTCTTTCAAAAAAAAAAAAAAAAAATCTTTCTGTATAAAACATATCCTTTTTCTGTGTTTGTTTTTAGGATTGGCTTGCGGGACATGCGTTTTTGAATCTGAATTTGGTTTCATACTCAATTGTAACTTCAAAAAGTCTGGACTATTTCGTGTAAGGAATTTGGGCGGCCTAAAAGCACATTTTGGTTTAGGTAAATGTTACAACATACATACATACATGTGTACAAAATTTTTTTGCAATCTTAATATTATCAATTGATTAGTATTTATAATAGTAGTAAGGGCATTCACATATTCAAAGGTATTCAAAATTATAAAAGTAGAAAATTATGTAAGCACTAACTATTATTTTAATTTTATTTCACTAATTGTAAGTATGCACTAAGTTTTGCGATTTGAATGCACTATTTTTGTAAATGCCTTTTCTTTAAAAAAATAATGAATTAAAAACCTTTTTACGTAACTTCTGAACGGCAGGTGATTTTAAGGGAGGATTTTTCATTGCAGAAATACATTCGGAGGTTTGCCAATGTTATTAGGGACATTTCGACCTGAAAGACTTTTATCGAGAGTCCCAAGATGCCTTCTGCTTTATTAATAAATACTAAATGGATCTTGTTAGGCGAATTCCTAATTTTTAGGGGCTCAACTATATATAAATGATTTAAAATGCTGTGAATATTCTGCGAAATTTCATCGGTTGTCACGGTATACGCCTTTGAACATAGAAAAATGTTCTTTCAACATCGACGTTTGTTATTGGAGCATACTTAAATGACAAAGTTTCTGCTACACTATATTCAGTCTTGAATCCAGCTGGTTTGGCTGCTGACAATTGATTACAATGTTTTGTAATTCCAAAAAGCCTTTATTTTTTTCTTGCTGTATATTTCGCTTTCTCAATTGATTTTTGTGCTTCTGTAACCACATTTATTTTATCATGTAATAAATGCGCTGTTGACTCTAAAGTTTTGATAGAGTTTATTAAGAATCCAAAATGACTGGCAATGAAAATTAAGTCTTGACGGATGCTGTCATTATTCAAAAGGGGTTTCGCAATTGATATATTCTTCAAATCATTTACGTTCAACAAATTCAAAACACTTTTAATTGTTTCAAAATTCTTAGCGTAATAGTTTACTGCTTCAAGCCAGGTGCGCAGCGTGTAGTAATAGGCTCCGGAGGTAGTGCTAGCTCTGGTGCATGTTCTTTAAAAATATAAATTCGAGGCGGAGCTTTTAGAAAAACCTTTTTCACGGCGGCAACTAGTTCATCAACTTTTGGATTACAATCACGAATGCAGACTCTATGAAGACTGTGTGCACGACAGGTTACATGCAATAGCTTTGGTTAAAATGTCTTCAAAGCATGCCCAGCTTTTATCATGTAAGATGCAGCATCAGACAAAAACAGTAGAATCAAATTCCTATCAAGATCTGAACCCAATATTCTAACAGCGTCGTCGAAAAGTCGTGCTATAGTTGTATGATTGACTTTTTCTAAAGAATCAACATGTAATAAAAATCGTTTCTTTGCAAAGTTGTAGTCACTGTCTAATATGCCCAATATTACAAGCGCAATATGTCTGCCAGTGCTATCGGTTGTTTCATCGATAGAAATCCACAAGTATTTACTTCTTATCGTTTTTTTTATGTCTTCTATGGTATCCTGCAGAGGCTTCCAACGGTGGAGCGTACTGAGGTTTCGGATGGTATTTTGTTCTCGATATATTTTTCAAAAAATCTTCTCAAGTATTCGTTTCTCAGTTTGTAGAGCGGAATGTCTGAGGCAACGAATGCTTTGCACAAATCCCTTACAAATTGTGTCTGCTTTGAAAATGCTGCATTTTCTCCTAATAACTGCTGAGTAGTTGTCGAAGTTTTCTTTTCTGCCTCGAAGTGCCCGATTCCTGCCACATGTGATTTTAAAAAGAAAATTTTATCTTAGTTAACTTCCTTATTGCAAACTTTGCAAAGTAAAACATTTCCATCCGTTTTAAAGACGGGATATTGTTTAATATATTGCGCCAATCTGGCCGTTTTCGTACTTTTAACTTTTGGCATGGCACTAGGAATGAAATAATTCAATTTATTTAGTTTTTATAATGTATGCATGTTAGTTTTCAATTAAAATTTACCAGATTCACATTTTTATCGCACGTTTGATCATTAAGTTTTTCAAATGAATATGTCAAAGGAACAGCTGATTTCTCTGCAGTGATAAATAGAGTGGCCATAAAAAAAACTACATGTGGTGAAATTGATTGCATTTGTGGTGCAAACTTCAACAAGTTGCTTTTATTGTAAAAATTGCAAAAAATTGCCTATATTGGAAGAAATTGCAAAAAATTGCATTTATTATAAAAATTGCAAAAAATTGCACTAACAAATATAGCTCATTTTTAAGAATATTTTCTAGAAATAACAGCTATCTTATTAGTTTTTTGAAAGCACTTCAAACTGTATAGTTGCAAATGCAAATTTTTGGTTGCCCTAGTTATGACTCATGAGTACTATATTTCCTCTCGAAAGGATAGCCAGAGAGACTGTCTCATGCTCATGCAAATACAAATATTAATTAGTTAGTATGTAATTTGGATGTAACAGAAAAAGAGATACTGCAACTTAGAAGATAGATATTTTGTATCTTTAAGATAAGTCCTAAACCCCAATTTCTAAGACACTATCCGTATCTATATTAGGATGCATCACCCTCTATGCAAAAAAAAAATAATAGTAAAATAAAGTATTAAAAATCTGTACTGTTAAATTTATTATTATTATCTTAGGACTTCTGCCAAAATATTAAGATTTAAGTGAGCTGAACTAATTTGAAAATATTTTCAAAAGTCGGGTTTTTTAGAAGTAAAATACTTTTTAAATTTTTTTTCTAAAAAATGTCCTCATATGATAAAAGAGTTTTACCCCTCTATTCTAACAGAGTCACAAAACTTAGCTCATCACTGCTGTGATTTCTACCGCGCCTCAAAGCTTGCCTCTACAATTCAATTTTTTAAATTTTTGTGTATTTTTCTAGCACTCAAAATCGAATTTTTTGTGACACATTTCTCGGCGCACTTGAAATCACAGCAGTGATGAGCTATGTTTTGTGACTCTGTTAGAATAGAGGGGTAAAACTCTTTTATCATATGAGGACATTTTTTAGAAAAAAAATTTAAAAAGTATTTTACTTCTAAAAAACCCGACTTTTGAAAATATTTTCAAATTAGTTTTAAAATTTTTTAACGTAATCAAAATGATGTTATTTTTTGAAGAATTTTTAAATCGACCTAGCTCTCGCAAATCTTAATGTTTTTCCGAATTATTTTGCCAAAAGTTAAAAAAAAAATTATATTATATAAAGAAAAACCCCGACCTTTTCAGGTGATGCACCCTAATGTGTATGCATCTATTTATGGCATAAAAGTTAAAAAAAAAATCATTTTGAAATTATCAACAAGTATTCATGAGGGTAGGTGTTTCAATTCAAAATATTTATTTCCTTTCTATCGGATGGCTAGTCAAAAGCATGGTGTGTCTAAGGCCCCCTACCGCTCTTCAATACTTACTGCTTTCTGAGTTTAACCACTCGGTAACTGCTAGTCTCGGAGGAGACCAGCTACATATGTCCGATGGTTGTGGCCGCACAAGGATAAGGATGTGGAAGAGTCATCGCCTCGCCAGTTCATGGGTCAACTCGTTTGCTTCGCTCCCACAATGATCTGATAATACCCAGCGAGTGTGAAAACACTCCTTGACGAGCCTATGGTGACAAACCTTTCAGATAGGGGCTTAATGACCGCTGACTATGTGAAAAGTTAACAACTAACGTTTTTCCAACGCCTTGCAAGGTTACATTTGTCACAGTTTGAGATGTTGCTCGGCCTGAAACTGTGGGCCTTTTGTCCGTTGCAATAGAAATTTAGTGCCAGTTCCATATAAATCCACACCTGCTCTGTTTTCCGTCCTTTACCTGTCTCTGTACTAATAAAAATAAAAACTGGTGTTAAGTTGAGGTGATTAATTTTCAGCGAAAAAGAAATACCTCAACAAAAATGTACTCACCAGGTGACGCTGTTGGTTGCTGCCACCATACCCATAATCATTTTCCATTTAAATTGCTGGTGGAACCGGCCGTAAACGACAAATTAAAGCGAGTTTAATAAAATCGTTTGTACTTGCATTGATAATAACGCAAAAAATACCTTTAGGGCGCCGCTAGGCATGCCGGGTACCTGCTAGTTATTTTTAATTCATATTTTTCTGATTACTCATTTCCACAGTCAATTTATATCTATTAATATTTCTTACGAAACCTGTTGCAGTAAATAGAATGCAAACTTGCCAAAAAAAAATTTAAAACACCAAAATCACATTAAGATCTGCGCAGAGATCATAGTTAATTGATTATGTATTTATGCCAATGTCAATGGCAATGTTTTGAAAAAAAAACTGCTAAACAAAAACAAAAACTTTGCCTTTGCCTTTGCTTTTCAGTACCAAGAGTAAGCGAAAGGTGAAAAATCCTAAATCCATTAGGCAATTATAAATTGCGTGCGCGCATGCGTGGTGCGGTTTGCTAAATTAGCAATAGCACCAACAGCCGATTTAAGTGGTCATTGATTGTTGTTAATTGACGTAATGTGGCTGCCTTGCATGCTACTATTTCCGACTATAAATTGCATTTAAAACAAAATAATGTACGTACTATTCGTGGTTAAAACAAGGATGATTACAAAAATAAATGTCAATTCGAGAAAATTGCTATTTGCGAATCTTTTTTCTTTTGAAAAAGTTGATTTAACCACTTTTTGCGATAGTTTGCTGGTTAGTGGTTAAGTAGTGCACTTTTTTTTCGTAATTTCACAACATTTCTTAATTTTGGTTTCCGTTTTTTATATTTTTTCTTTTGATATAGGGTTCAGTTTGGGCGACGAACTGGGCTTCGCCGAGTCGTTGGGTAACGTAGAGGGTGAACCGGAACGGCGACGGGCTATTAACTATAAAAATGGACCACCACCATCACCTAATGCTCTCAGTCTAGTGGCTCCCACACAACAGGCGGTAAGTTTTAAATATTCCTCTTTAAATATAACTTTGACCACCTTAGTAACTATAGTTCGTTTGAAAATCTTTTTGATCAAACAGACGGTCATTTAAAACACTAAGGGCCAAATTCACAATGCGTAGTTAACTCAGAATCGGCAGTTAACTAGAGATTTTCAGTACAAAAATCTACGCACTGTGGAATTGGCCCTAATACCATGTCCCCACCGGAGCTAACCACGTAGTTATGGCTACTGAGTTGGTTATCCCGATACCCACTTGATTTAGCGTAGTTTCGCCATATAAAAATGACAGCACTTAACCATTTCACTGAGATGGTTAAAAGCTAACCAACTCGAAAAACCGTCGAGAGTCTGATACAACCCTGTGTTTTCGCGCCATTTGTGGGTCATTAGCGTTAAAATGTAAAGAATTCGTTCCCTACTAGTGTTTGGACTCAGCTAAAATCTGATTAGATTTACTCCAGTTTTTTAAAAAAATTTGAAATCAAGTCCTCTACTCCGCTTGACTTCAAATCTATTCCGTTTTTTCATTCATGTTATGCCCCTCTTGGGGCCGTTTTTTGAGTGTTCACCACCGGTTTCAGTAAAAAAATTTAAAGTTAGCCAAATCTCACTGTTAAAAAGTAACTTTTTCATAGCAATGCGCCAATAAAGTAACTTCGTTATTTTTTGATGTATGGCTGTACAAATTGGCGGATGCAGAACTTTACTTAAGTTGTTAAAAAATATATGTAAAATGAAATTTATATAAAGTAGAAAAGGTTTGCTTTTTTAAAAATTAAGTGTTAGATACGTTCTACTATATAGAAAATGCTAAAAATTATCTAAATTGTAACATATCCTTACATTGCCTCGCGTACTTATTTTGCATGAATAGAAAATATTTTAGTCAAACAATTAATGTCAGAAACAAAAATTCAATCTAGTACGGAAATTTTGTTTTTGCTCCGATTTTTGCAGGAATTTAGTCCTGAATCGATTTTTGGAAGTCCGAACACTGTTCTTCACATTTGTACTGTTTTATAAACCTTAAACCGCAGTGTGGACAGCAATAGTTAGTGAGGTGGTTAAGTTCGATTTGAGATGGTTAACTTTTTGGTGGGGACATGGTATAAGTGGGGACATGGTATAAGTGGGGAAAGAATTTAGTGTAAAAAACCCATACCCCAGGATCTTTTTTTTAACGTGGCATAGGTTTTGTTATGGGCCCATATGTGGGTAATGTCGGGCTTCTGAATATACAGCTAGAGTAATTTTAGTATATTCAATTCCTACACGCCATGTGAAATAACCAAACATCTGGAGGTTACGCCTGAAGGGGAGCTTTAGTAGGGTCGATCTATTTGGTTTAAGAATTTACGGAAGTCTGTGGCGTCTGTCCAGCAGAAGTTCTGGCGTTTGTCTTCCATCCATCAAGGATGTTATGTAAAGGTGTCTTAAAACAAAATGGCTTTATTATCTAGCTGAACCAAGGCGAATTCGTATATGGTGGTGTTACCGGCGATGTTCGATTTTCGCTACGGTTGTGCAGATGCTCAAAATGATTTGTTTAATGTAAATTTGTTTTGTTCTAATTGCCATTATGCGTATAATTTGTTAGTGTTAGTTTTCTGGTTTTGTGCTGCCGCTATTACCTTATATGAATTCGCCTTGGGTTCAACGTTTGGATAGGAGCCCACCATGTAAAACAAATAAAACACTGTGCTTTGAGGGTGTGCCCCTGGAATGTCCAGACCCTTAACGCCGGTTGATGTCCTCAAGAAGACTAAGGCTGACATCAATGCTTTCCAAGAAATGCGATGAACAGGGAACGGTTACCCTCGTAACTACAGATGGCTTCTAAAAGTGTCAACTTTCGGTGTTGGGCTCAAGGCAGAAGAGAGAATGTGTCGCTAAGCACTGTTATCTTACCCGGTGAAAGGAAATCTGGGCACATCAAAGTGATAATAATCATCATATTTTGGAAATTTGATTTTATGAGAAGTTTCAAGGCAAAAATATACTCGGAGGTGTGCCATTGCCTTCCGAGGGACGAAAGTTTTTCTAATTTAGAAGTGGATCTAACCCAGGTCCTAATTAATGATTGTGCTGGAACGGTAACTGCAAGAGTATACTTAAGATTGTTACGGAAAATCATACGTGCTTAAAAAAAGGATTGCTGGCAGCTGATGCCCACCACCGAGAATTCCTCTGGAAGTTTTAATGAAACAAAATCCAAAGTTTTTAAACTTTAGGCTACGAAAAGCAGGACAGATGGTTATTCTATCTCGTCGTCCTCCTAACAGTTTCGAAAATAGAGATAATAAACGATGTTAAGTCGCACCGCTTGAGAGCAACAAGAGTTGCCCCTAGAAGCACCTTAGATGCCATGCGGCCTACGAGCGGGCATAAGAGTTCTCGCATGCTGAGCCGACTAAACGACCATCAGTCCAGACAAAGGCCAAACGTTTTCACAGGATTTCCTATACACACCCAGAAAAATAAACTTAAGAATACCCTACCAACATACATAGTTGATAACAAATAACCCGCGACCCGAAACCAAATTTGAAAGTGTGGCGAAGCAACACAGAGAGGTCAGGCATTTGCTGACAGCTTATTTTGATACTGTGGTCACGTGATGTTACCTCTTTAATTATTTCTGGCAAAAAAAAATCTTTGATAATAAATTGACAGTTGAGTGGAAGATCGACGTTTCTCGGCAGCCGGTTCGAAAACGCCCTATCTCAGAAAATGGCTCAAGAATGCCCAACTTCCAAATTTGGTCGATCTTCCGCTCAGCTGTCGAAATAGTGAAAGTTCTTTAGATGTGTAATTCAACAAATAAATCTTTTTTTTTCTAATACTTATAGCCTGTACAGCACCCTATTCCCGAAAAACGCATTGGCGCACGCGCTTCGCCTACTTACAGTGCCACATACAGAGAAAGTGTTATGCGTCCAATGGCGTCCAATCAACTAATGACAGAGGCGCGACCCTTGCCTCTAGGTGTGCCAGCGTTCCGCCCCATACCGAAGACTGCGACGGTACCAGTCGCACAAATAGCACAGCGGCGTACAAATATCGCTGTAGACACACCTAATCCGCGTGTTCGACTCAACAATCAATTGGTCGAAAGTTACTCGGAGGGAGTGGTGAGTAATCAACTCTTACTATGTTTCTATTTAATTTAATTCTCCGCTTCTCACAGAACTCTAATCGCACCTTCCACGTTGCGAATCCAATAGTCTCGCAACCCGTCGCCGTACCCGCCTTCCAAGCAATGCCCAGTTCTGTTGCACGTTTAGCTGCGGCTGCGACAAAGTCTATAACAAATGCCGAAGAACGAATTTTGCATAATCATCCAAATTATTTGCAATTCGAAGAACCAAGATTCGATCTGAAAGATGTGACTGTAGAGGAATTAGCAGCCGCGGCTAATGTCACTGTGGATACGATTAAACATGCAATTTATGTGCGCGAACAGCAGATGAAAGCTGAACATCGTGCAATGCTGGCGGCTAAATTGCGTCAGGAATTCGTGCGTACTTCAACGACTGCCAGGACGACGACGACGACAACAACGACGACACCGGTACCAGTGCCTGCCTATAGAGCGCCAGTGATGATGAATTGGGCGCAGCAGACTCAGGATGTTTTCGAAAGGCAGAATGTCAAAGAAAATGTTGCCTTCGAGAGTAAGATGTCTAAGGTGAGTGAAATATTTTGTTTCAGAAGTAGGAAACCAAGATTGGCACTATATACCAGAGTCGTTCACAGCCTTCTGTTGAGGAAAAGGAAGTGAAAATCCCAGAACATCTGAAATATTTTTTCTGTGGTTCTAGCTCATTGACTTCATTAGAAACAGGTTGAACTTCTGTCGCGTGGACTCGGCCCGACGGCGAAGACATAAATTAGGTATTTTTCATTCACATAAAAAATGAGGTTTGTTGACTATAGTAAAGCTGATTTCACGGCAACACCTTTGTACATAAAGCTGAGTGTCTGCTTTTGGAAAGAAACAAAATAACAGCCTGCGAGGTAAGAGATTGCAGAAACCAAAATCAATTACCAAAGTTGAATGCTCCATTCGTGCGATAGTAATTCCTAATCTGAGTTGGAAGATATATATAGAGGAAAGAAGCAGAGGAGAAACGTTGGCTTTTACTTTTGCAAGCGGCTTTTGCGCCACGACGTTGGGTCTTAACATAAAATAACGGACAATAGTATAATGTTCCATGTCTTATGTTATGGTTTCCAAGTCTAGTGGACAGCCTTACAGAATAAGTACAATCATGGAAAACTAGGCAGAGTTCAGAGGGACGCCTGTGTGGAGACTTACGGCTGTTTTCAATGTTTTTACAAATAAATATATTTCTCACAGATCTTCTTGTAATGAACATCGCTTCAGTATGGAAAGNCGCTGTTTTCAATGTTTTTACAAATAAATATGTATATTTCTCACAGATCTTCTTGTAATGAACATCGCTTCAGTATGGAAAGAAAGATCATTTGGGAATAGTACCAAGTACAATTTCCCGACTGCCGTTCAAGATAAGACAGCGCCAGACTATAAATGATCTGGAATAGAATTCCACAGTACCTTCGGTATCCTTCTCCCGCAAAAACGTCGAGGGGTTTTCTGGGAACCTCTGAAATAAGGCTGATCAATCTTAAAATTTCCGTAAATGCGGCTGGCAACGAGTTAGCTAGGAAGGATACAGACTGTAAGAATTGTTGCTCTGTATACTTAATAAAAAAATAGAGCCATAGGGTCATCGCGCCGTAATTAGCGCATTGCGTCAGGTTGCCGTATAGACAAAGTATATGGCCCGCAAACGATCCTNATGCGGCTGGCAACGAGTTAGCTAGGAAGGATACAGACTGTAAGAATTGTTGCTCTGTATACTTAATAAAAAAATAGAACCATAGGGTCATCGCGCCGTAATTAGCGTATTGCGTCAGGTTGCCGTATAGACAAAGTATATGGCCCGCAAACGATCCTAAAATAACGCACAATTTATTACGAAAGCTCATGCTAATAACGGTTCCCACTGGGCATTGGCCGGTTGGTACTAGGGTGTTTGACTTTTCAAAATACCCATAATGTTTGGCGTTTTCTACGTGTTTGGCCGAGCTTCTCCTCCAATTCGGGTTGTTATTCTTAATGTTGTGATACAATTGGAGAGATATACACTTTTACTCCACCTTCGAATAAGATTTTTTAAAGCAGAAGTATTCTCGGAGGTTTACCATTGTCTTGCTACTTGGACGTTTAAGATATTCGTCGCCATTTTAACCTAACCGAACGTAGAAATCAAGTTTATCATCCAAAAACTTCTCTCCTGTTTCTGGCAATTTCTCCTCCTCTTCGACTAATAACTGCTTTTTGGAAAAACTCTAAATTTAAAAATTTATAAAATTCAGCACTAATTTCAATACTTTAAATATGTGTGTACTTTTTTCACCACAGGTTATGAATGCCCCACGTGAATACTATCCTGTGGGCTATGACAAGAATTTCGACGACAACTTCAAGTCAAAAGTAGATTTGCCACCTACAAGTTTTTCATGTGGCAAGCAAAAGCATTTCCCTGGACTGTATGCCGACACAGATTTGGGTTGCATGGTAGGTCCTTCGCTAACCTATAATTTAAGTTAATTTATCACCAACCATATTCGATTTTAGGTCTTCCATGTATGCGCGCTCACCGATGATGGTCTCGTACGCAAATCATTCCTGTGTCCGGAGAGCACGCTTTTCGATCAAACGATCCTGAAATGTAACTGGTGGTTCTATGTAGATTGTAGTGCCAGTAAGAGCGTTTATGATTCAAATATACCCATTTCGAAGAGTTATCAGCTGATGAAATCGCTCACTTACTTTTCAAAATACAACCAAAATAGTGATAATGATGGTGGCGATGGTGGATTGGACATCCAAACACTCAAGGACTCAATGGCTGAGGAAGAGAATGGTAGAGCAAGACGCGTGGACAGTAGTAAGGTAGAAATATCGGAAAAAGCGCGTAACTTTATAATACGAGCAGAAGAAACAACAATTGAACCGGTGAAATCAGCGAACGATGGCGAGGAAAATGCCAATGCCGAGACGGAGGAAATGCAGCTAACCAATGAAATTACTACACCCACTACAGCGAGCAGCATCGAAGAGAGCACCGCAGTGCATATAATCCAACCACAACCCATATATGACCGACTGGCTGAGCTGAAGGCCAAGCTGGATATCATTAAGGCGGCAAATAGTCAGATTACAACACAACAAACGAACGAAGCTTGAGTTGGGAGGGGAAAGCGCGTAACAGCGCTACGCAGGGATTTAAATTGTCTAAGTTTTCGAAAATGTGGTTAAGATATTACATGTGCAGTTGGATTATCAGACAACGAGGCGATATGTCGAAGAAGGCAATTTATTTGCACGTCAAATATAAGAGTTGCGTGTATGGATTGTCGCAAGGCGAATTCATATAAGGTGGTAGCGGTAGTACAAAAACAAAAACTAATATGTATTTTGTTTTCACTTTCGGTACACAAATGTCAAATTTCAGCTATTCTCCGCTCAAGGAGGAAGAGGGAAAGAAACACTCCCACACTCTTATTTTTCGCATTCACTCATAGGGACATATGTACCTATCGAGCCCTAACCGCCAAAATAACGTAAGCGAAATTTTTTCAAAATT